CCCCAAAACCCCAAAACCCCAAAACCCCAAAACCCCATTTAAGAGGGAAAATATAGAAATAGTATATTTTTATTCTAACGAAATGTCAGCAATTCAGGCGACCAAGAATAATCAGAATAGTTTATATAAAAGTAAGTGCTGCTTGAGCTTGCCTCGTTGATTGTGTTTTAGTCCCAAACCCACCACAGAGCTATCATGGACCGAAAGGAGACGAACTTGATATCGAAGAGGAAATTGACGATAAGATTTATGTACAAGAGGAGTATAATCTTGTACACAGGAAAGCCAAGATCTACCCAGTTCTTGTACAGCATTACAGCCAGATTAGCTCACATGAGCCAAGCTATACCTCTGATAACCCTCAGGAGAAGTAAGCCCTTAGATAATTGGTTAAATTATTGTGGTGAAGCAAAATAGCTTATATTTTATAGTGTTGATGCGGATGCAAGAATCGACCAAATGCTCCAAGAAGCAGGCCTAGATCTGTTCAGTGATGAAGAAAGTCTTGATAGTGAAGCTGAAGAAGGTGCTGAAAACATTGAGATTAGAGAGAAGATTGAAGAGATTAAGAGAATCATCTCTGTATCCACACTATTCCAAGAGAAAGTCATGCTAGTCAACAAGTTGCATGAATATGCGAGAGAAATTGGTACTAAAAGAACAATTGAGCATATTGTTGAGCTTATCATCCCTAAAGTTATCCACAATGAAAAGCCTCAAGTAAAGAAAGCTATCATTCCTCAACTTCTAAAGCTGGCTAAATTTCTGATTGCTTCTAAAGATGGACATGAAGCAGTTGTGAATAACCTCATTGGAGAATATCAAGCTTTGCTTTCTGACCAAAATCCAGATATTTCAAAGAAAGCTTGTGAGTCTTTACTAGGGATATCTAACTTACTATCAATGGAAGATAGGTCGAACTATATCCTACCTATAATTCTAGGCCTTGCTCATGACAATGAGGAGGAAGACTCCCGTTGACTTGCTTTGCAACTTCTCAGCCATTTCTCCTCCCTTGTTGAGAATGAGTATCTCGAGAAGATAATTGTTAGTGAAATTATCTCTTTGTCAGATGATCCAGTACTAAATGTTAGGAGAACCACTGTAGTATTCTTAGTCAACATTTGCAAAAATGTCAGGCAGGATACATTCGAGAGCAAGCTATTCCCAGTGTATTACAAACTTGCTTATGATAATGTCTGGGGTGTGAGGAAAGCAGCCGTTGAGATCCTCCCAGATATCTCTCAGATCAGCTCTCCTGAGCTCAGGTCTCAACATTTAGTGGATCTTTATAAGAAGTTTACTCAAGATACCTCTAAATGGGTGAAGATGGCTGCTCATCAATATCTGGGTCCATTCATTGCAACTCTGAAAGGACAGACCATTGACAAGTCATTGGTGAACTATTTTTTGAGCATGGGTGATCCTAGAAGAGCTTCATTTAATTCTGATGTAGCATTCCACTGTGCATTCAACTTCCCAGCAGTTCTTCTAACTCTTGGAAAAGAGAAGTGGCCAGATTTGAAAAGGCTTTACAAAATTTTGGTAAGAGATAATCAATGGAAGGTGAGGAAGACCCTTTCTTACTCCTTACATGAGATCGCCAAGATTCTTGGCCCCGATCTAACAGAGGATGAACTCCTTCCAGTCCTTGAAGGATTCCTTAAAGACACAGGTATGAATTTAAGAGTTTATATATCTAGATGAGATCAGAAATGGTGTCCTAATCCACCTTGCAGACTTCATTAGAATCCTCAGACCCAAGGTTAGAGAGAAGTGTATCAGTCTTCTCGGGCACCTAGAAAGCGAGTCTAACCATTGGAGGTTAAGAAAGCTTCTAGCTGCGCAGCTTAAAGATTGCGTTGAGTTATTCGAGCCAAAGGTGGTGTACAAAATTCACTATCCGATTGCACTTAAACTCTGCAAGGATGAAGTTGCTGAAGTCAGGACTATGGCTTGTTGCAATATTCCGATCATCCTTAAAACACTTCAAAAGCAGAAATCGAAGGACTATTTTGAGAGAGTAATTGAAGATTTATTCCAAATCTCTTCTTCTGAAAGATATGCTCACAGGCAAATCTTTGTTATCATGTGTGCAAATATTCTTCATGAGGATCTAGCGATGTTCTGTAGGCATTTCATGCCCCATTTCATTGAGAAGCAAGAAGACAGAGTGGTTAATGTTAGAATTGTCCTTGCCAGATATTGTGGAAGATTCTTATCTAACTTCAGAGAGCCTGAGCAACCATCAGAGACTTCCTCTGATGTCAGCTCTGCTGTTGAAGAGCAAATTGAGCAAAAAGATGACTCTAATATCCATAAACATCGTAGGAGGTATGAGAGACTTCTTTGTGAGAAGAAGTTTATGAAAATGATTATCCGTCTTAAGAACGATGAGAAGCCTGACGTTGGCCGAGAAATCACAGAGAATATAGATTTTCAAAAATTAATGAAATTCATCAAACAAAACGAAGAATCTGTCAAAGACATTGATCTTCTTGAAGAATTTCCTGATGAAATTGAGGAACAAAAATGCGCTCATGAAGATAGTGAAACTACAGCAAGTTTTGCTCTAAACCCAGAATCCTCTTTACTCCTAACAGAAGAGGAAGATGACGATAACCCTGACTTCTCTCTATCAGCTCCTAACGCTTCTGTTGGTCTCTGGTCACTGCAATCCACTAGAGTGATCATCGATGAAGTCATTTCTCAAAGCTCTGACGACACTGAAGAAGTAGACTCCATCGACGACTAAACTTCTAAATCTCTAAACACATAACTTCTTTCAACGTGTACTTTTCCATCAGGGGTTTTGGGGTTTTGGGGTTTTGGGGTTTTGGGG